GGACGTGAATCTCTCGAGAGTAACGGACATGAATGATACGACCAGCACTCCGCTGATGGGGAGAGGGATCAACTACATGAGGGGCAAGTGGAGAGGTACCTCCAAGCGTGGACCAAGAGTGGGGACCAGTGCGATAATAGATACCACCCTGTGAGGACGAGAGGCGGGCGAGGGTGAGTGTGAGGGAGAGGGAGAGGAGCCAGTCGACCGGCCGTGAGCGAAACTTTTTAATTAAACTATTATATCCAGGTCCTGTGTATTCGGTGCTACTCACGTGGTTGTGTAACTCCACCTCCTAGCTATTTATAGTAACTTATGATTGAAGGAGGTTGGGCTATACTTTGAAGAGTAAAATTTTTTATATTAGTCGTTCCCCGAGTCAAGCGATGCTTGACCCCCCACTCATTAGTGCTATACTCTAGGAGCCTGTATCTTTTCTATTTCGGGGAAGTTGACTAAAGGGTTTGCGATTACACTAAGGTCTAAGATAGGCATACTAGGTGGTACAACTCCCTTATTCGGGAGAATAAGATAATAGGAGAGAAGACTGTAGAATATGTAATTCTATGATCTCATATAGCCGGAAAACGCAGATAGATACTTGAATTGATATCCGGATTATTAGTTATAAGTTACAGGCATGATGATATATACGTATCAATTAGGGGTTTTAAAAAAAGCGGTATTTGGCCCGAAGTGAGAAATCGAAACCAGGGACAGGACTTCGCCAATGTCCCTGGCCAGTTCATTTTGCTCGGCCGGAAGTTTTCCCCCATAATCTCTCAATTGATTTGCGAGCCACAACGCCTCCGTTGAATTCATCGGTACGGTCATCTCGCACTCTACTCCATACTTGAAGTAGACGATAGTGATGTCAGAGATGTGGCGGTGTGTGCCGAGGTATGCGGCCACTTTCATTAGCTTTATTCGCAAGGGGAGTTCTGTGGGCTGGTTCCTGCCCCAAAAGAAGGGGGTAGCGTTCTCCCCCTCCTCAAACTGAAGGGCCCAGACGAAATGAGATTGGGTGGCCATGTGTTTTACGGGAAATTCGGCTCTAAATAGGACAAAATGGGACTTTTTATGAGTTAAATGAAAAGTTTGGCTAAAAGAACAGGTTACAAAATATTCAAAACAAATTATTGAAAGTTTATACCAAAAATTACTCACGTTTAAAAGTAACTTGAATGTAGTAGATATGAAATAGGAATGATGCGCACAGCCCAAAATCGAACGTCCTATAATCCAGCAAATATTTGCAGTAAATATTTGTCGGAGACGAACGAATCGAAGCATGTGCATAATAGGGACCCAAAATGGTCGAAATTAAATACCAAGATGAGAATGATGAAGATATTTGAAATAATAAGAAAAGTTCAAGTAAAAAGGGATTTTGAATAAAACTATGTAGGTTTTGGATGCATTCCGGTAATAATTGCGACATGCCCTTCCCCTTTGTGGGGCCCCTCATGTTGCTGCCAATACTGGAGGTAAATAGCTTCCGATCCGTTTTGACCGTGTTTATTCCCCGCGACGTAATTCCATTTCGGGGGACTTAGGTCGGTCCGGTACTCGTATATATGTACCCCGAGCATTTCGGCGAGCAGGTGCATGTCGGAATCAATGACCCCACGTGATAGTAACGTCGCATTGGGATCGTGAAAAGGATAATAGAACGAATCCAAACGTCCTCGTTCACGCAATTGCTGATCCTCTAAGGTCCGTTGCAAGCGGTACGACTGTACTTTTCTCCCGGTAATAAGGTAATGTAGGCAATCCAATAAACAAGAAGAAAGAGTGCAAGCGCCTTCGATCGTAATGGGTTCGTGCGTGTTGACGTTGGCACTATCGCAGTCTTGGGTGGCGATAGGTTTTTCCCGGCAACGAAGACAGGGACACGAGGTTTATGCGATCGATTTCCCTTTGCTTTCTTCACCGGCGTCATAATCGTCCGGCATATTCGTTCGCGAGTCTTGGACGATAAATGTCGCATAGGAACCTCGTCAGATAGGATCATCCGGGCTTCAATACATTTAATGCACTCGAAACAGACATTTCGACAGACATCACGGAGGTCTCCCTCTATGAAATACTGCGATCGCGCTTCTTGGTGTAGATCGTTAGAGTTCCCCCGATGACTTAAGGTTGACCTATGTAAATTACGTAACACGGGGGTGACGTTAAGCTTGTGGAGAACGATTTTCCCATCTCGGCGTAGGTATCCATCCACGAGGGAATACTTCTTCGCTCTAAGGCAGAAGGCGGTTCTTTTGTTTCGGGCAAGGCCGGGGGGTATTTTCCGTCGTTCTTTCGGGGTAGCGTGGAGATATTGGGATATTTGGGTATATAATTCAAAATCCATGATAAAGATGATAAATCGAATAATATGTAATAAGATGAAGAAACCGTTTAGAACGCTACCGAATGACTGATTGGTAAATAATGAAATAGTTAAGTTAAGATTGAATTAAACTCGTGTTTAATTAAGTTCGTGGGATTAATCCCCCTCTTTAGTGAAAATAGTGAATGCAATAGCTCCCGCCAACCCCCCCCCCCCCCCCAACTCGGGAACTATAAGGGCGAACTTTATGAAATTTAATGGAGTGATACTAGAGATGATTTGACCCGGGCATGCAAAGCGCCGGACCCGCTTGACCCCCTGGGGGCCGAGTGATAACGGTTCCCGGAAGTGCAAATGGCCCCACCGGAAACCCTTAACTAATGATCCGATTGAGCTCATTTTTAAATATGTGGTAGCCCTGGATGAGGGAAGCTTAAGTTTGGAATTCCAGATCTCCAAGGTCACCCCGGCCCGATTTATGCCCTAAACAAACAAACCCCCACATGACTCCCGGAGGCTACTTCTCGACCCCCAATGACCCTAGGGAGCTGAAACTTGGAGGGATGGTAGATAGTGACATGGTCTATCGTATATTAGGATGATGACCCTACTGGGTGACAATGGCACGGGCTATTAGCACTTGGGAATATCACCCCTTTTAGGTGTTAATGGGCTATTTGCGAAAAATAATGCGCGAGGGCATATCGATTTCATGGCTTATATGTGTAGTATAACCCACCCCGGTAAAAAGGACCCCTATAGGTCTCAGCTCCCGGTTGACCTTTCTGGTGCTAATTGACCTTTCCCGGGAAAAGTGATAATGAACCTTAAAAGTGGGATAACTTGAGAAGTATTTGTCGGATATGGATGAAACTTGGTAGGTACGACCCCATGTGACCTCGAACCGATTATGGGAGACTTGACCCCGGGTGACCCCGGGTTGACCTTTACTTGACCTTTTGGAATTTTAGCCCCAAAACCCCTAAAATTAGCACCGGAAAGTAGCCCAAATCATATGTCTCGTAATCAGGGGAGTTAATAGAGATATGTAATTGATATTGGGTGACAATTTGCGTGCATAGGAAATTAGTTAGGCATTTCCTGGAATTCGATGGAATATCTTGGCTTAATGTATAGTGGTATATTGTTGGATTTAATACGAGTTAGTTAAAAAAACATTGGGTTAAATTTTGACTTGGCGAATGAACTATTAATAGAAATGCGTCAATGGCACAGAAAAGTAGTCACATATTAATTTGGCAATATGACAGAGGGAATAGGGAATTAATTAACATAAATATTAGAAATGTACTGGATATTCCATTGGCTTCTGGGAGATGTGTTTTTTGGCTCAATTGGACACTAGTTGGGGAAATGGCTTAACCTGAAGGTCGATTAGGTTGAAATTTGAATAGGTTATGCATGGGAATTTTTGGATTATGATAATTAGGAAATTAAGTCCTTTGTGAAATTACCCTAAGTGTGGGAGACGGGAAAAGTTACGGGAACGTTAAATAAAGTCCTTGGTAATGTTGATATGTAAATATAGCTTGGATTGAGTTGAAGTTGCTTTTGCTATTTGTTTTGCATAGCTTTGATTGGCATTTGGAACCTGGCATTTAAATTAATGTGATCATGCCGAGTTTATGAACTGGAACGTTGCGTAGGAGGCATAAAGGTAAATGCTAAGACTTATAAGGGGATGGCATCTCTAACTAAAACTAAGGGTAAATAGACTTAAGGTACGAACGTTCCGGTCGACCTTTGCGACAAAAACAGAACAAAAATTAGGAGAGACTAATCAAGTTGGTTAGAAAAAGTTACGAAAAACCTTAAAGGAACAACTTCGCGAAAGTTGTTAATTTATCGGGTAGGGTAATTTTTCTAAGTACTTTCAAGAAGAAAGTGAAACTCAGAGAGGCACCTCTGGAAGTTGATATTAGTGAAGTGCTGATAACTGTTAGAGGCAGTTAGTTAATTAATAATAATCGCAAACCCTTCTCCTTAATTGAACGAATAATTTTTATCTGGGCCAATTATAGGCCATTCTGTAGTTGGATTATATTTATCTCTTAATTCATTCTTATTATCGAAAAGTGTTGTTGCGAGCGATTATCGATTGACGAGAGAGGTACAGCCGGAAGAGCACCACAAAAGGGGGCGAGCAACATAATACGATACAGACCGGCTATCCACCAAATTAACCCTTTTGGGATTGTGAACAGCACTGGTACTTGGTTGCCCCACCGACCCAGTGTAAAAGGGAAACATATAGCGGCGACACGAAGTAGAGTGAAAGGTCGGCCTAGAGATATTGTGAATTCCACACGTTTACACACCAAACACGGCCGGCTTACTGTTTTAAGAGGACTCTGATCCATCGATCTGAAAAAGTCATCGACGTTAATCCTGTTTCAAAAAAAAACTGTCAACTTTTGTTGGAACCAATGCGTGCAAATGAATTGAACTAGCCTTCAATTCCCTGAAATATGGTACACCCTGAAACACCTTATAAGTTATCATCCTTCGCAAAAAAAAGAATATTAGCTTGAAAAGTTAGCTTAACCCACGATCAATAACACCATGCTAAGTAAATCAATCATGTAGTTGTAATATCTAACTCAATGGTAATCCTAAGCTGCATTAGCACTTTCAAATCAACTCAATGAAGCATAATCAACTCTTCATTACCAGGTGTCGTGTCTTCAGTGATGGTTATGGTGTTTTCCATGGGGTAGAATGAAGGAGCCTCGTCTACATCTACCACATGGATGGAAACCAGTTTGTACCCATTGAATGGAGTGTACTGGGCGAAGACAGCCACTGTCACCCACCACTCAGTTTGTGTTTCGAAGTCCAGAAGCTGTGTCTCACTTCCAACCTGATAAAGACACGTTGATCAATTTGTAAAGACACGTTGCATATTCTACAGACACGTTGCATATTTTATAATGACAAGTTGCTCTCTTTATAAGAAAAATGTTGAATTTGAAATTCAATTTTTTTACCACCTACATTCATCAAGTAGAAGCTAAATCATATGCATGGAGAGAAATTCTAAGGAGCAGTGCTGCTCATCGAGTAGAATATCTCGGAAAAGAAAATAAGATAGTCATGATTATGATTATTATCAAAAATGTTTTTTAACAAAGTGGACTGAAGTTAAAAAACAATTCGTTACCCGCACTGGAGTTCCATGGGTAATAATCGATTATATTGTCATTTTATAGTCAGTATCTATAAAATTACAAAAATAATCTATTATAATCCATCAAAAATGGATTATAATGCTAGTATTTTTATATCAATATAATCGATTATAATCGAATGTAATGTATTTTTTGAGAAAAATTATGATTTTTGAATTTTTTTTTTCGTAGTTATCTCATTTCTTGTTTCGTGCAGTTGCTACGTATTACGTTTCATAAATTTTAACTTTTCACAAGATTTTACTGATTTAAGTTTTCTCTACTTTTTATATGCTACCTAAACTCCATCGCCTCTTTTAACAGCCTCCTTCCCCAGCTTCCCCCCCCCAAAGTTTGCTCCTCATCAATTTACCCCCGCCCCTCCCTCCACCCAGTTCACCCCTCCTCAGATCACTCCACTAGCCCAGTTTACCTCCCCCTATCCTAGTTTAAACCCCCCAAACCCCCCCCCCCCCCCGTTTACTGAACGTGGGCGGGGTAAAGCAATTGGGGGAAGGGAGGGTGGAACAAACAACTTGGGTGCGGTGGTTAAAATGGATAATGGGGGTAAATAGGTGTGTTGTTCACACTGAATAACCCACCTCCCCCGTCCCCGTTCAAAAAATCATCGATTATAATGACAATATAATCAATTTCATGGTCTAAACTTGCAACAATAATGGATTATAATGACAACATTTTAGAGAAAATTTTTCTAAAATAACCGATTATTATCCATGGAACTCCGGTGCAGGTAAGATCCCAATTTTCTTTCAAGTAGGTAATAAAAGAGTGCTTATAGAATCTGAATTGCGGCCTTTCACGAATGTTTCCAGATATCAAATAGTTTTTTTAATTAAAATTAAAAGCGTGAACTGCCCTCACAGAAAGCAATCTTTGCTTAGCAGTTTTCAAAAATTTTTTAACAGCAATGATTTCTTTGCTTCTCGTAATTGGTGCGGGTTCTTTGCTATGAATTCGAGAAAAAAAACGTTCTTTTTTTCTCATCTCCACGAATAGATACTTGAAGAGTTCGAAAAAGTAACACTCAAAAACGATAAGTAAAAGGTTTTCGTCATTAGAATTTTGATTGATTCATGTCTATGTTTGAAAAATGTTGCTCTCAGAGTTCTTTTGGGTTATTTCAAAATCTCTTTTAGGTGAGGTTGAACTGATTGCTGCATTCACATAAGCTTTGTAAAATTGAAGCATCTATTGCTTAGAGATGAAATATCTGCCCTTCCAAGCAATGCCTGTTAATTTTGTTTGTGTATTTGTTAAGCGGGACAAGGAATGAGAAAAGTAGGGTAAAAAGAACTCATTTGAAAAGATATGTTCAATGCTTCAATGTGTCCCGCAATTTAGGTTTTATTGACCTCAGAGTTTGAATTAGTTCCTCGCATTGTTCTATAGAATAATGCGAGGAACTAATTCAAACTCTGTGGTCATTAAAAACTAAGTTGCGGGACACATTGAAGCATTGAAAATATCTTTTCAAATGACTTCTACCAGGAAGAAATTTAAAAATATTGTACTTACTGCCGTACTTTTTGTACTTTAATTTTGTACTCAAATATTGTAGTTTCTACCTGTCACAAATTTAAAAATATTGTACTTACAACAGTGCTTATTTTACTTTAGTATTGTACTTTAATATTGTAGTTTCTATCAATCTTAATTTTAAAAATATTGTATTTACTACCGCCATTATAGGTACCCAAAATAGATTGAAAATTTAGATTTGTCTTAGTTTGTATTGTAGATGTAATTTTCAAGCTCATAATATTCAAGCAAGATATTGCTATGAACGTTTTCGTTCCTCAAAGAAATCGGATTCTAAAAGATATTTGAAAACGGAGGCGAAAATATTTGTACAAAATGTTTGTAAACTAATTGTGGAAAAACTGAGAAAAACGTAAGAATTTGAGTTTAACAGATTCGAATTGTAAAAGATATTCTACCGGAACTTGTGTTATAACCCAAGTGTTTCTTTGTATAAAAACGGTCTCTTGGTATCTTTGATTCAGGGCGCTTTACTGATTTCTACAAGCTAATTTTTTATATTCTTTTAAATAATCCGCTGATACAACCATAATGTTTTTGTAATTTTTGAGTAATTTTGTTTTGAATTAATTATGGCCAGAGGCTTATGTACCCCTTGTACAGCAACCAACTACTCTTGTTTTAATTATTTTATCTGATAAGTTATCCTGCTGGTATGGAAAAAAATTGGAGCAGACAAAATGTTTGACAAATTTACCTTTTTAGAAAATTTCTCCTTACAATTTGCCAATGTAGATCTAAGTGTTTTAGTTTTTGAAATATTCTTTTAATTTATGCAATCGAAACCTTGTCTTAGTTTCTTAGACCTCAGAATTTTTTTTCTGCGCGTTACCAGTCATCTTTAAAGAATTCTATCTACTAACGAAACACATGATGTGATAACGCCGCAAAGCTGATACAAAAACTTAACACAAAACTGAAACTGAAGGAAAAATTTGCAGTTTCTGACGAAAAAAAAGAATTATTAACTTGTTTAAAATTCGTCACTTGCTAATGAAACGGAAGTTTAAAGATGTTCTCAAAAGGTAAATGAAACCCGGGCTGCAACTTGCAAAAAAAACACGCAAAAATACATCGGGTACTAGTTCACTTGATTGGTCTCTTAAAATTGCTGTGTTCCCTAATGAAAACCGAGGTACAGTTTATGGCTAATTCTAACAGTAAGCTTTTTTTATTTATCTATATTGCTGTGGTAACGTGCCTAGTTAGTCTAGCAGGTATGAATCCGGTTACCAAACTTTTAGTAAACTAGTACCATACATCGTTACGTATGACTTGTCGGCACGTTAGTTATGCCGCTGAATCCGCAAAATGTGATTAAAGAAATTTGTAGCAGATTCAGATTTTTGCAAGTAGATTCCGCAGATTATTATTGGCTTATAGATTCCCTAAACTCTCCTAGACTCCGCAAGTTTAGTTTCGAATTCCGCAAATTGTGCTGATTTTGGACCGATTTTGAGCAGAACAGTAATTAGTCGTTTGTATTTGGATTTCAGAACAGTAAGAAGGTTAATTCGGATTCCGCTTAAAAGTGCCAAAATTTTTTTGTAATGTTAATATCACTTTGGTCTTGAATCTTTTTTCCAATCCTCCTCAATGCATAAAAATTCAAAAATTCGGATCAATTGAGCTATCTCCCCCAAGCAAAAACGGTAAAACGCTACAAAAAGACGTCAGCAAACTTAATTAGATGATTTATGTGTTCTAAGCACGCAATCAGATGACCGCCTGAAGTTTATTTTAAATGAGTATCGAAAAGAGTTTTGAAATATTAAAAAAAATCGAAATTTATAGAACAATTTTTTTGTAACTTTTTGTTTTGGCGACCATTGCCTCATCAAGGAAAGCAAAATACCAGAGTTGATGCTCTAGCCTTGTATCTAAATAGGAAAACTGTTCTCCGCAGTACCTTAATTTTGTACACAAGAGTTTTTTCCTTTTAGGACAGAAGCAAGTAGCTTTATATTCCTCAGTTTTTCAGTTTTTTTATTCTTTTTACACTCTCTTGTAATTTTTGAGGTTTGATCTTGTAAGTTTTGACGTTCCACATTCGTTGGAGAATCTAGCTTGTGATTTCATATCATTCAAACTATTTTCAAGTGGTTATAAACATGGCTCAAGCACCTATTGAGCTATCTCCCCCCAAGCGAGAATGGGGGGGGGGGGGGGGGAGAGATTGCTCAATGGGATCCAAAAAATGGAGAACAGGTTTTCTCAAAAAATCAAAAAACCATTTAAGAATAAAAAAACTTCGTCTGTAGAAACTTCCGCGTTTTTATTTAACCGCCATCAAACTAAAAGAATGTTGAAAATTTTAAAGTTGTTTTATGTCTAGATTTAAGTGGGAGATGAAAATCAATCAAGCATGACGATTGAATCAAATATATAGATTTAATAAATAGTTTGCAAAGCAGAAAACCTACTTCGATCGATCCCGACTCTGCATCGACATCACCCATCACAAATGGTATTCCTGAGGGAGGAGACACAATGCCCCACTTGGGGGAGCCATACGTGTTCAAGGAAAAACTGGTCGTGTTGAGGGGCTCCATGGTGGTCACTTTGGTGCCTGTGGGGGAGTTCTCAGGGACGAAGAAGCCAGAACCAGATATTTGTGTCTGGTCTGAAATGTAGCAAATGTAGTATTAAACTTTACAGTCATCTGTTTGGAATGAAAAAAAAATGTATAACAGGTATGAGGACTGGATAAAAATCATGTTTAGAAGAGCCAAATCTACATTTTTGTGTTTCGGAAATTTAAAGAAAAATGCAATACTTTCAGAAGAATTGGCAAAAAAACTTTCGGCTATAAGTACTCACTGGTTGTAGGACTCCGTTTTTTCCTCCTCGGTTCCTGTGTAGCCCTGGGTTCCTCTCTCATTTCAAGTCCTGCTAGCGAAGGCACAAGTCTAGCTAAAAAACGGCGAAAACAGAGCACGAAGAAGATGCAATGCAGAGAAAGAAAGAGGAGAGAGAGAGAGAGAGAGAGAGAGAGAGAGGAGAGAGAGAGAGAGAGAGAGAGAGAGAGATAGAGAGAGAGAGAGAGAGAGAGAGAGAGAGAGAGAGAGAGAGAGAGAGAGAGAGAGAGAGAGAGAGAGAGAGAGAGAGAGAGAGAGAGAGAGAGAGAGAGAGAGAGAGAGAGAGAGAGAGAGGAGAGGAGAGAGAGAGAGAGCGAGAGAGAGAGAGAGAGAGAGAGAGAGAGAGAAGAGAGAGAGAGAGAGAGAGAGAGAGAGAGAACGGCTAAGAAAAAAAAGAGAGAGAGAGAGAGAGAGAGAGAGAGAAAGATAGTTTTCCCGATAAATTGAGCGGGTGTTGGGAACTACAGATATATGCTCATGCAATACTTAGGAACGTACCCTAAAACGAGAAGACGTACCCTAATTTAAATCAGATACCGTCGCCACTGCCAGTGCGTGAAGTTTAACGTGACAAAAATGTTGACCTTGGTAGCAAGCATATAATACGTAATTTATAAAACCGCCATATATATTTTAAAATAATATCAGTCTAAGCAAAATTCCCCCTTCAATTAAAAAAAAACAAGCACAATTTCAAAAACAGTTTTGCATCCAGTAATCTCAAGTCCACTTGTTTGAATCTATAAAATTCCGCAGGTTATCCACAATCTCTTTCTCCTCTGGTTAACTTTTAAAGTAATCAATCGTCTTGTTCAACCCGAAAGCTCACCACCACGAAATCCTCCAGTAGCTGCCGCTGTTCCTCCTTGTTCATAGTATCTGCCGCTGGCTCTTCATTCTTCAGCAAACACCAGATCATCAGTTGCTAGTCCTCCTCATGATTTCTCACTCATGCTGGCAAAGTCAGCCATCCTTTTAATCATTGTGGCTTCCAACCATTGTTAAAAAATAGTAACGTGAAGCCGTCTATAGTTATCCTTTGCGCATCCTTGGTCGATGGTACTAACTTCGTGTGCTTAACTGTTTAACGATCTTTCGCAATTTCTCCAGTACATCAACGAAGTATCCTGAGACATCCTCATCCAATCCATCGATGTCGTCTTGAACGAAGTCTCCAACCAATAGAAACGGCATATCTTTCTGTCGAATTACGTATCTTTCTTCTGCTTATTGATTTTTTCGGGACTGGTAGCGCTTTGAGTGTTGTAGTCAGAGCTCTCCTTGACCGCGAATAAGTTCACTGGCCGCGCGTCAACCAACATCGCACTCGAAAAAATTGTTCGTCAAAGAACTTCGGTGGTTTGCGCTTACGTAAAGGCCCTGTGTTTCGTCTCAATGTCAACTTCGACGTTTTCAACAAAGGGCTGTTTGCATCTTCTATACCTCTGAAATTTCCATCGGAGGGGTACTAGACGATTTTACTTTGAGAGCCTCTCATTTAGAAACTACTTCACCCTCTTCCTGCCGCGGCGAATCACCTTCTTGGAGATCCAGATCACCCGAAACACTTTAATCTTGCCATTCGTCGGTGTCCTGCGCCTCGTCCGCTGTATACAAAACTTCTGTACTATGCGGTTTTACTTTACTAGCCAAGCATTTGCTCCATAACCTCATTCTCTCTCCGTTTCCTTCCGAACAGCGTGAACTTCAGTTTGTCACTTTTGGTCCTTAAGAAAAAGCGTCCAATGACAACTGTCATAGCTCTGTAAAACTGATATTGACTATCTTTCTATGAGGGTATTCATGAGAAAGAGTACCTTTGGACTTATTTTTAGTCAAAAAGGTCAACTGAGACCTTTGGGTACTACCTTTGAAAATACATTTTTCATCATCTGTCCGGTGTGCCTCTTCCCCTCTCCAAACATGAATTGCTGCCTTCTTTCTTCCTTCTATCTCGTTTGTAACGGTCGCAATCTCAATGCGTGCCGGTTCTTGCAATGCGGGATATGTATTGTGTGTAAAAAAATGTCTTTTCCTTTTTTGCAATAACTACGAACTGACATTTTGGCGAGCAGTCTACTCAGATAGAAGTGGTTCCAGGCCGTGCCAAAAGTTTTCAGGCCGTGCTAGCTCGATTTTGCTCGTGACTGCGATATTTGCTAAAGGCTGCTCACGTAAAAGAATCAACTTCAACGCAAATCAGTTATCGTCGCTAGTGGCGATAAGTTAGTTAAGTTTAACTTCACAATAATGTTGACTATGGTAACAAGCATAGGTTACGTATTGCATAATATCGCTATATATATCTAATTATCTTCTTACCAGGAACACTTCAAATGGAACTTCAACCGATATATTCTCCCCCCCCCCCCCTTAATTCAGACCTCAATATCTCTCTGGGTTTATAATGCCTTGAACCTGCTTGGTGGAATATTAACACAAATTCAAAAAAGTGGTATTGGTCGCAGATGACAAGGAGCGTCTGGTTCTAGAGCAGAGAAGGGATAAGTTTGTGATGCAACGGATTATCCAACAACTTCTGCGGTTAGTATCTTCTTAAGCCACGTTAGCCAATTCGGCAAACCCCTCATATAAAGTTTTTCTACTAACTAACCGAACATTTTTTCGCAATTACGTTCTCATAGAACATTCTAACACTACAGATAGTTAATGTTTTTCACTAATCAAAATGTTTTTTACGCAATCGTTATCTTTTGAAAAGAAATTTTGCTCAAAAATTACGTCAAATTATTTTCGAAGAATTATTCAGAAAAGCTCACTACTTATGGAAGCAAATACACTGACACGATTAAAAAATCGAGTCTAAACTCATCGCTCAGTTTCTGAACCAAATCTTCTCAACTCAGATTTAGATATTCGCCCCCCCCCCCCGTGCCACCCAGAGCCCCCTTCAGCAATTTGGGTCAAACAATACTAGAGTTGTTTTGAATAATGGCAAAATTTACTAAAAGTAAGAAAAAGCACAGGCCGTGAAAATGTAATACTCTGATAAAAACCTTTAAAAAAAGTCCAAACAAGGCATTTGAATTTTGGTGCAGCGCCAAATTTGTGAGGGAATGGGAGCTTTTTTATTGCTTATACTAATTTTTAGAAACTCACCTTGGTTTGGATCTAAAAATGATTCACGATCACATGTAAGGAGACCGAAAATCAATATGTGAGATAATTTTTTCAGTCAAAAATACTCGTTGATTTACCTTTTGATGAGGTAGAATCGTATAAGAAAATGACATTTATGTAACTAATAAAAAAGAAACAATAAATAGAAATTATAGGATACATTATCACAATAATGATAATTTGTTTTTATACTTTTAGGAAAAATAAAAATACTATATTAATTCAATTAGAAGAAGGAACCAAATCAATTCTCCCATGTCGACTATCAACATGACTACTACAAGTGTAGAAAAGTCTAGTAATGATTTTCTGTAAAAGAGTGCCCTAAATGACAGCCGAGGTAACTGAGGCTTTTTCTATTTTTAATCTTTAGAAAGTCCATTATAACTAACACATTGCAGTTATTGAAAGATAATCGCTTTTTAATGTTTTTTTTTCGTCAATTTTCAAATTGTAATTTTTTTGTATTAATAAAATACTGAGCGGATTCTTAAGAATCTAAAGTTTACCCGTCTGAACATTGAAAAGCTCATTAACGACAATCATAGACAATTTTCTTGTCAAGTATACTGTAGTACCAACCACTTTTGGTCATATATTTATTTATACCGGGGATTGAGTGTCAATTTTTGCTTTATTCATTTTCAAGAGGTAAATTGATAATCTTTTCGCGCTGAGGTGTCATCAAAATTTGACGCACTATTTGTGACGCCAAAAAAAGCTGTGGCTTTTCTCTATTTTTATCCATAAAAATTAACAAAACGAGCTGAAGATTAGTAAATTTTGATCTGAAGTGATCTTTACTGAGTCTTTGTGAACTCTTCGAGAGTCAAAAACTCGTAAATTTTCAATTAAAGAAAGTGAGCGGTAATTCATATACATTTCTATCGCTGAATTTGAAGTCTTGAGTTGATTATAAGTGGGTGAGACTAGCTCATTAAAATTAAAACGATTTTTTTCAAAAGAAATTAATAAATAGAAGAAAAAATGTTGAACAAAAACATTGCAATTGTTTTTTTTCTCGCCTAAGCCGCTATTAAGAAATCGCATTTCGCTTTTTCAATTAAAGATTTGATTGATTTTTGCTTATTGATCCGACTTTTGGAGAAAACGACGGAATTTGAGCTGAGTACAACGCCTACCTGTGCTCGGGGTGGTTTTTGTTTCTCCAGGGCAATTTCGTCATTTTAACTAGCCAATTTTGAACGGAATTTTTGATATCATCTAAAAACCAGTGATGTCTTGAGCTCAATTTAAAAAAATATTATATTACTTGCGATCATTTTTTTAAATCAGGCTCGGAAACACGCACCGTGCAACCATCCGATATGACAAACATCCGAAAACTAAAAAAAATGTTGGAGACATCCAAAAAAAGCTTTACTAGGCAGCATCTAACATTTTTCAGCAAGTAGAGCAAGAAAGACCTGATTTCTACTTTTGCTTAAAACAGAGAGAAGGGCATCATATAAAAATAAGGTCCTGGTATCGCCGCAAAGCTATTGAATGTTCGGATGTGTGACAGAGCGGATGTTTGATATATCGGAACTATGCCCTAGACCCGGCTATTACCCTTTTAAATTGATTTCAGTTGAAATGGGGGCAAAAACTTGGTGATATTGCC